TAAATATGTATTTTAAAATGTAGTTAATTCCTGTGATGGCACAACTGAAGCAAAGCTTTGAGCAACCATTACAAGAAATATTTCTTATTCTTATTGTAATTGCTGAAAACTGTTTTCTGCTTAATATTTTTGTGGAAACGGGTTTTATTTTTTTATTTTTTTCAGGATTATTTGATGATTAAACGGTTCAAAAGAACACTATTTATTAACAGAATTTCAAATTATAAGTAGAATATTTGTAACAATATCAATGATTTTACTGTCACTTTTAATCATTGCGAGTCAAAAATAAGGCATAAGAAAATAAATAAATAAAATAAAATGAAAAAAATTTGAAAATAAAATAAAATGTGCATATTTTATGAAAAATACGCATTAACGAGCATATTTCGATTGAAGTCAAGGTAGCCTGTGCTGAGATATGATTTATGGTTGGCCTTACTTCTCTCTCAATCTCACGCTCTCTCTTCTCTACCTTTACATGATGCCTCATTATGTCTCCCGTAGGGTCATCGTTATTTTTCCTCGTTGTGGGACCCTGTTCAGACACAGATAGATTTACCATTCGAAGAAGACAAATGGACCAGGCAACCCTGCTGGTTTCAGCTATCCTGTGTTTTCTCTGCATTCGTTTCCAGTGTGACCGCAGGCCATTGATTTAAAGGCCTTCTACATTTGTGTTTTTTTTTCATTGAGGGTGATACATTCTGACCCTACGGGTTCGAATCAAAGCTGAGTTACACTTCAGAGACTAAAGAACGGGTCCAGGTTATGCTGAACAACAAAGAGCGAAAGAAAGAGAAGGAAAACAAGACAACAGAGGTGATCAAACAAGTTGACCATAGTGCAAGAGACATGTGCTGCTGCATTTGCACTCTCACAATCGCTGTCGGTGTTTTGATCTACTCACAGCAGCAGTTTAAAGATAAAAGGGCTCCAAAGTGGAGTGCGTCAAAACCAGCCTCGGGAGCATGATGGGAAACATATTTATAAATTGTCGGGTCTGGGTTGATGCTGCCGGTAGCAGGCAAAGGATGTGTGGGCAGGGAAGGTGGATTGTGGGATACTGTGCTTCAGAACTCCGTTGTATATTTGTTTGATTCCGTTAACATGGATCAGATATGTGTCTTTTATTCAGAGTTGGTGTTAAAGGGGCCATTTCATGTGATCTTTTCAGATAAAGTTCTGTGCACTTGAAAATGGGCTACTGTAGCTTTAAGAACTCATATGCATATTTTAAACTGAGAAGGAGCTTTATGTATTTAAAATTGTTCCTGCTGAGATCCACTCATGTAGGTCATACAGTTTATGAATATTTACAGTAATTTATTAAAAAAAACACAAAAGGATATCAATTACTATATTGAATGTATATATCTCTACAATAAAATTATAAACTAAAATAGTATTAGTGAAAAAGTAAAAGCTATATTATATTAAAATAGTATCATATAAAAACAATAATATGCATCATATATAAATTATATAATAAATTCAAATATATTAATATATAAATAAAATATATTTAATCCTGAGATCCACTGAAGGTCGTACAGTTTTATGAATATTTTATGAATATTTAATTTATAATAAAACCTAAAAAAAGATATAAATTACTATTATAGTATGTATGTATACGCACACACACACACATATACATGTATGTATGTATGTATGTCTGTGTGTATAATATATATATATATATAGACAAAATGTGAGTGAGTAAATAATGACAGAAATTAAATTTTTTGGGTGAACTATCCCTTTAATGACAGTCGGCAGCATGTTTAGTAGCTACTGTCCCTTTAAGAGCTGCACCCGTTACTCTCTCAACTATTTACTTTCATTTTAGACATAACCAACTGTGTTTATATGTAAACCTTGCAATCAAGGTTTTTGACAGTATTAGACGCAAAATCAATCAGACGCGTAAGACAACTTAGTCCAATAATCAGGCGCTTTTTATTTATTTTTTACGTTATATTGAGACGGAGGGAGGCGCCAGAACTGCAGCTGATAGAATGTGCACTGTAGCATGATACAACGATATTTCTTCAAAAGTAGATCGTGGAGACATTTTAATTGCTGTGTTATGAACATGCAAAACTATATTATATTAAAATACTATCATATATAAAAATATACATAATATAAACAAAATGTATATAAATATATTATTAATGTATTATATTTATATACATCTAAAAATATATAATAAAATATATAATATATGTAAAAATATATATTTTGATATTTAAAAAAATATATTAACAAGTGTATATATGTACGTTCTTAATATTTTTATTATATTTTGTACATACAAATGTCCCCATTTTCCCTTAAATATATTAACTTTAATGTTACTTTTTTAGTTGTGTATGTGTGTGTGTGTGTGTATTGCCTTTTAATTGATCATATGGCTTTTTGGGTGTTTCAATTTTGTCCGCAACATCCTTGTCTAATGTATGCACGTTTGAATATGTATGTCAGCTATACTAATTATAGCTAGCATATATTTTCCTCCTGCCTGGATGAAATGTGTCTACTTCACATGAGGTGGGAAAAGTAAAAACTCGATCTAGAACACTGTCAAGGGAGAGCGGGATTGCTGATTGGACTGTGGCACTCATGATAGCAATGATGAGTCTAAGCATTAAGGGGCTTGACTATGGACTCACTTTTTTAGTATCAAAGCTGCAAGAATATTTGAAGTCTGGAGTCGATCAAACAAACGCAACCAACAAGAGTTACCCATAAAAACAGACTCAAGCAGCTTTGTTTATATGCATGCTTATGGTATCACATCAGTTTGCTTAGAGGATCTGGACAGTTCTTGGAAAAAGGCATGAAATCGAAGTCTCTAACTGACTAAAATCAGATCTGTTTTGCAGCTCTCACCTATTTAGAGAGAAAGAGATAGTTTGATTGAAACATTTAGAGTTTAGAGTCTGAAATATTATCTCAAATCTCATTTTAGTTGCTGGTACCTTGTAAAAATAACTTTATTTCCAGTCAGACTTCTAAACTCCAATGCACCCTGGATCATAGATATGATATCATACCATCCAATCAGATCAAAGCTTACCGGTTTGAAAAAGTCCCTGCTGGTTTTATGTTTAATTTGCATTAGATGTTCAATGAACGGTTGTTGTTTGGTTTAATTAATATGAGGAACCGCTCTCTGAAGACCGCTCATGGGAGATTCAGTCCGTGTAACTCAAGGCCTTGTAATGCTTGTGCGCATTTGTGTATCACGCGTCTCTTTCTCTCCATATTATTAGTCTCTCTCTGTATTATATAAGACTTCCTGAAAAGCATCTAGTGTAGCTCATGACACGCCTCCTCATTTTCTGGGACAGGAAGAGCGGAGCATTAGTGCAGATGAGAACATATTGTACTGCAATTTAGACAGAAAAAAGCCCACATATATTTGGAGAAGTGTATGCATTATGTTTAGTTTCCTTTATATTTGTTTGCATAATTATAGTCATAGCAGTTGTGAATGTGTGTGGGGTCAGATTCATGCTCACGCTCGACTGCCTGGAATTTATATTGATCTAAGAATGTTAAATATAATAATTATATTGATCATATTGATATGCAGCCAGTTTGAGTTTGTTTGACCATGCACTGCTGCTGGGTCTAAAACTACAGTAATTCATTTTGAGTGATTACATTTGATGAAAATTATGGTTTCTGGCCATTTTAAAGTGATGGAAACTACCAGCTTGAATAGAAGCCATAGTTCGCCTGAAAATACAATTCTGTCATTTTTTTGGACAAACATATCAAAGGCACAAAAGCTCAAGAGAATCTGAATTTTTAAACTGGTGTGACATGTTTGTTTGTGAGACACGTGAGAAATATCAGCATTTGGTATTTTGAATTGATATTAGCATTTTGGTAACAAAATGTGGTATGTGACATTTTTTTTTTTATTAGCATGCAGAAATAAATGCTTAAGAATTAAAGTTGAGCAGAGACTGACTGCAAATTCCAAATCTTACTATTAAGTTGTTTTTTTTTGCTCCTTTTAATCATACTTTTAAGGTGCTTTTCATGGACTGAAAAAAAAATCTAAAACATTTTGTGCTTGTATCATATGTATGGTGATTTTCCAATGTAGTAGTTAGTAAAATGTGAGTCAGTTAATTGGTTAGAGTTAGTGAAAATGAGTCAAAAAGTGAGTAACATATTTAGTAAAATGTATTTTATTGGTAAATTTATGTCTGCAGGTCTGCACCAATATCAATATTTTTCTTTCAAATAAAATATAAAAAAAATCTAATAAAACGTATTTTCTAATTTTTTAATTGATGGCTGTAGTATATTATATATTTATGTTTATGTAACTATAATTAAAATGCTTGTCTTTATTCAGGAGCTCCAAAAAGGGCACACAAATAAAAATAAAATAAAATGGGAAAATTAATTTTTAAACTGGTGTGACATATTTGGTGTCAATGACAATACCAAATAGCATTTTTTTTGTTTTTTTTTGCAAGCACAAACTTTTAAGAATTGAAGGTGATTTGATAGATAGATAGATAGATAGATAGATTTGTAAATGAGAATTAACCATCCGGTCAGCATATTCTGTTTCCCAAAATATCTCTTTGCAAACTATACAGAAAAAACACACACACACACACTTACCAAATCCACTTACCAAAACCACATAAGGATCAAACAGAAATGCTTCTGCTCGTTTAGCAGTGGTGGCGTCTGAGTCATCTCCTCTGCTCAGGAAACTATTCTAGCCGGTCATTATGAACGAGTCCAAGTGGGGATTTCTCACATTGATGTTTATATTAAGCACATCTATTATTTGGAACCACTTGAAGTTAGTCAGTAGAAAACAGGTTGGCTTCTAATAGGTTTGCAAACAAAAGCTTTGTCTTTCCGCGGTTCCCTTTTTGAGCATTTGGAGCCGGAGAAAGCGACAGGATCTAAGTGGTTTGTAATTGTAACGTGACTGTTCTTCTCTTTTGTGTGCGCAGGGCGAAGCCAGCTAGAGAAACCAAGCGTGAAGATGTCCAGAAACTGCTGGCACTGTGGAAGACTTGGCAGGTGAGTGTACAGGAACAGGTTGTGAGGAACACACTTTGGCTGATTGGAGATCAGGCACCGAGCCCCGTCTGAAGATGGGATTGAATGTGACATACACAAGCTGATGTAAGAACCGTCTCGTTGGAGAGGAAGATAGATGAGATCAAACAGGACTGAATTACAATTACTCCATGTGTCTTAATTCTCAAGCTAGTCGTTATATATTATAGTTCAACCATCTCAAACATTTGCTCCAGCATATTTTGATTCAAAATAAACTTTTTGTACTCGGCTCTGATTTTTGTTTTAACAATTATGTGCTGAAATCATCAGAAATAGACTAGTTATGATTGTAGTTTGTGAAGCTCCTCCGTTTTCTTCAGCGTAATTTCAGACTGTAATCAGCAGTGAAATTGCTCGTATCATGTGGAATTGTTTTTGTGAAATATTTATGCAGATTTTCTGACGCAATAGTTTGTAGGGCTTGCAGAACAGAGCAAATCAACAACACATGACAAAAAAGTTGTGTGAGTGAGTAAAATATTTTTGAAAACACACTCAAACAGTTTAGATCTCTTTTAATGGTAGACCAACTTTGGGTCAAATATGGACTAACCCATCTTTTGGGTTAAAAATGTAATGTACAAATTTAACCAAATGGCTGGCTTAGCCCATATGTGACCCAAAGTTGGGTTGAAACAACCCAGCATTTTTTAGAGTGTAACTGTACACATGACATTTTGCATTCATGTTAAAGATCCACTGAAGTGCCTTGAAATGAAATTGTGACTTATTTCGCCCCAATGGAAAGCATATTTACACTGTCTGAATCGTTCCCTACCCCCTATATAGTGTACTACTTGCCATTCACCACACAGAAAATATTAACTCCGTGAACAAGTGACTGATTTCAGCCGCAGCCTCAGCAGCTATTTATAGTGTAGGGGGCGGGACACGTCGGATTCTAAATGGCATTTGATTGGACAGAAGGTTTGACGAGAAGCTGAAGTGCAGAATGATGTCATCGAAATTGTTGATCCATATTGGAGTGAGAATCTGTACGTTTTTAATGCTTATATCTTCTGAATGCAAATTTTTGTCATTGTTTTGGAGCACACCAACTTTATAGATAATTTTAAGGCTAGCATATTCATAAAAAAAATATATATTTTTTTTATTTTATTTTCTTTGAAAAATAATATATATATTTTTTTTCAAACACATGGTTTATATTTCTTAAATATTTTGATGATAGTATATACTGCGGTTTGGAGTCAGTAAGAAGTCTTTGAAAGAAATGAACACTTTTATTCAACAAGGATGTATTAAATTGATCAAAAATGACAGTAAAGCCATTAATAACATTATAAAAAAAATTTATGTTAAATAAATGCTGCTCTGTTGAACTTACTACTCACCAAAGAATTCTGTGGGGAAGTATCATGGTTACTACAAAAATAGGAAAAAAATATCAAAACTGTTTTTACTAATGACTGCTGAAAATTCAGCTTTGCCACCACAGGATTTTTTAAATATAATACAATAAAATCTATTCATCAAAGAATCCTAAAAATTACTAAATGTTTTAAGATTTCCACCAAAAAAAAAGCCAGACATTGAAGACTGGGAAGACAGCTTTGCCATCACATGAATTAACTATTTCTTTAATATATAATACAATAGAAAACAGTTATTTTAATTGGAGTAATATTTCATAGTATTACTGTTTTTTGTTATATTTTGAAAAACAATTATAAATCTATATACTGTATAAGATTATTGTTTTTTTTTTGTACATTTGTGCAACTACAGAAGTCTTATTTCTCAGAAAATACCACATAATGGTTAAATGTTGAATTTATTTTAAACCCTTCAGTGGTGATGTTTATTAGGGGGAACAATCATTTTATTTCAGTTGAGTCGATGCAGAGTTATGAAAAATGCTTTTTAACTATTAATGGAGATCTCAACCATTTTGTAGAGGCTCAAATTAAAAATTAAAACTTTAGAGTCTGTAAAAAAAATGGAAGTAGGATTAATAGAGAAAATAATATACGTCTATAACCTCTTTGGACATAGATGGACGTACAGTAACTGCATTATCAGTCCAGACTTGCAGATTGTTTTCCTATATCATTCCTCCAGTGCACCTCATATTATATTCACTGTAATGGTCTGTGGTCTTTTTTTCTTTGGATGAGGGAGTGGTTGGTGAGTTATGGGTCCGTCCTAAACGTACCTCGGCTGTGTCGTTCCCCTGAGAGGGGAGCCTGGGTCAGCTGATTAAAAAGATAATGAGTTGAAGTGATAGATTTATGTTTTTTTTCTGCAATATGTGGCCTTTTGCTGTCTCCCGTAGGAGGCGGTAACTGTATAAATAACAGATGGTGACATTGGAAGGCAACTGCTCCCTCGCCTTAGTTGTCTCAGCCTTTTCTGTCGCTTTGTTAAATTAAACACCACAGCGATTAGACCCACAACATCTGAAGCATCAAACAGCTGCCTCCTTCAGAAAGGCCGTCCTGACTCATGCAGATCGACATTTGATCAGGACAAATGTTATTGAGGGAATGACTGTATGAGCTTTGGTTGGACATAAATTACGGATTGTACTAAACAATGCAATTTGTGCTGATACAGCAGGAATTGACAAATTGACCCTTTTTACTTTCTTAAAAGGATAGTATGCCAAAAATGTTGCATTCATTCATTCATTCATTCATTTTATTTTTTTGCAAATAATTGCATTGTTGAAGTCATTGTTTTTGGAAACTTTTTTTTTTAATGTAAACTTTTATTTTTAAACAATTTTCAATCAGTAATTGCTTTTGAATTCTTGTAAAACATAGACCAATGATCTGCTTTAGTTATAACTTCAGGGTGAAGAAATTACTTTAGTAGTCTTTTTTGGCATTTATTTATTGATTTGTTTGTAAACTCTAGACCAGGGATCCTCAAATCTGGCCCACGAGATCTACTTTCCTGCAGAGTTTAGCTCTAACCCTAATCATACACACCGGAGCAAGCTAATTAATGTCTTCGGGATCATTAGAAAATCACAGGTAGGGGCATTTGATCAGGGTTGGAGCTAAACTCTGCAGCGCATTGGCCCTCCAGGGTAAGATTTGAGGAACCCTGCTCTAGACAGCCTTCATTCACTTCATTTAACCAGCACATTCTGCAAAATATCTCCTTCAGGTGTTTTTTTGTTTTTGTTTTTCCAAATAATTGTATTTCTGACGCCATTGTTGTGGGATGCTAATACACTGAAAATATTTTGTGAACTTTTATTTTGAAACAATTTTCACTCTGTAATTGCTATTGAATTTCACAAATAATAAAAAAAAATGGCAAGAACCACATTGAATTAAAAAAAGGCATTTATTCGTAAATTTTTTTGGTCTTTTTGTGTCTTTTTTTGAAAGTTGCACACTGAAAAAAATATGGTATACAAAAAAAAATTTTTTATTTCACAAATAATTAAATAATAATAAAAAAAAATGGCAGGTAAAATATTGAATTAAATGTGAAGTAAAAAGAAAAATTTCTGGAGTAAGTTTTCTTGTGAAACATACTCCAAATACTTTTTTAGTTAAAACTCCAGTGTATAAAATATTCATTCAGAAATTGCAACTGAATATCACAAAAAAAAAATTACAAAGAAACAGCAAGACATTGAAGTAAACATGAAAGTTCGAAATAGAAAAACAGTTTTTTTTTTTTGTTGCAACTTGGAAAAAAATACCTTTTTTGGCAGTGTATGTTTTTATCCATGTCTTTTTTTTAAGTTATGCACAAATAATTACAAAGAAATGGCAAGCAACACTGAATTAAATGGGAAAGACTGAAATAGTATTTTCTTGTAAAACATACTCCAATAATCTGCTTTAGTTATAATTTCAGAAGGAAAAGATAGATAGATAGATAGATAGATAGATAGATAGATAGATAGATGGAATACATTTTTTGTATTTTTTCATTTTGAAATTCTTGACAGCCCCTGCTTTCACTGGTTGGAAAAGCGACCCACACATTCTGTAAAATATCTCCTTCAGTGTTCATCAAAAAAGTTGTATGGGTTTTAACGGCATGAAGAGCAAAGGATAACAGAATTTTAATTTTTGGGTCACTATCATATCATATTTTGTTGTCGTCGGGACACTATGTAGGGCAAAGTACAGAGCTGTCAGTAAATAAGACCTACTCGCCTAGGGACCCCAAATACAGATGCCTGTTGAGGACACACAGATGTGCAGTTTTCCAGTGGTGGCAGATTGTGCAGAAGCACTTTTATTATTCTGATCCAGGAGTTTGTTCTGCAAACCTGATGTGTTCAAAGGCAGATCTGTTGAGAGGAGACTGATTTCAGATCAGAGAAGAAAGCAGCCCTGGATGCTGGGTTTAACGCGGGGAGCACAGTGTGTGCCTGCACCTGCAGCTAAATGATCTGTTATTAATTCAACAAATGTAGTGTAACATGAGAATGTCTTGTCTCTGAAGCCCTGCAGGGATTTCACCTGCTATCTGCATCTCCTGCTACCGCTGGCTTTTAGTACTACATTTACAGAGTCCCTGCTTTTGATGCAGTAGAAAATACATACTTTAAGATCAGACATCCAATCTTTAATCCCTTCCTTAATTTTGTATTCTTTTTAATTTTATTGTTGCTGTATGTTGTTCCAAGACACTATTATTCAGACACTTCTTTTCTTTTCTTTTTCTTTTTTCTCCCGTCTGTAAAAAGTGAGAAGTCTCACTCTCTGTTGTAGCTGGTAAATTTTTTATATAAATTTATGTAAAGAGAAATGTTTTGATCTTTTGTTATATGTTATCCTTTAAAGCAACCCCCCCCCCTATGAGCACATACAGTATATTGCAAACTATTGTTTTGTAGTGTTTCTTTTTCTTTCTTTCTGCTCCTTTAGTAGTATTTTTGTTCTTCTCTCCTTATTTATTTATTTATTTATTAATTCATTCATTTATTTAATTTTAATTTTTTTATGCAAACTTTGATGTTAACA